TCCTGCTGCTCTGATCTTTGAGGAAGAAACAGAATCAACAATAATCAGTTTCTTCTCCTGCCTGGACTCTGTCCCTATCAAAACCACAATTAAGGTTCAGAATATGGCAACTAAAATGTGGAGACAACAGTAGATTTCAACATGTCATAATTAAAAAGATAGATTAAGCTTGTAGGCACAGTGATGCAAGAGCATTATTATACCTCTCGCTAATCCAAGAGTTTAAGGAGGAGTCCTCATATGAAAAACCATCAGGTATGAATGTTAGAACAGAACCTTCTGCAATGGTTCTAGTTTGGGAACTGTCCCAAACTAGGGAGGATAACTGCCTGTTTTTATGGCACATATGCTTAAGGGCAACTGATCATGTAACTGCCCATCAGACAGCTTTTTCCAGAGTCCTTGAGAAGCTTATGATACTTAAGCTTTTGCAGTGGTTTTTAAAGGCCTAAATGTATTTTCTTCTGTTCTTCCTTAAAAGTCACAATCTTATTTCAAAAGATTTTAGTATGAAAACCTCTAAATATTAGCTTAGTATCACTAGGAAAACTTATTATAGCTTTAGGTGTACTGAAATTAAAAATTACCAGATGATTCATTAAGTCCACCTTGCATCTTAGTCAAAGAGTTTGCCTGCGACTGACTGGCATCTTGTGTTGCCATAACTGGATCTAAAAAATATAAAAGGATTTATTACCTCTCAATTCAACCGAGTTAGAAGTACCTAGTTCATGAGAAGACTTCAAACAGAACCTTCTCCTCAGCCTAATTCCATTCCCCCATCCCCCCCCCCGCCAAGTTCTAAGCACATATAACCCAAACTTGCAAGAATTACTTTTCATTAGTTCTTTAGCTTACTTTAGCCAAGAAAAGATTAAAGAACAGAGGCGGTATTTATTTGACCTCTGAGGTCTGTATGTGGATCTCTTCCCATAGTCAAGCAAAGCTGTTCTTCACAATATTCCAACAAACCAATAAAGCATATAATCTGCACTCAAATCCCATCTTGTTCATGTGCTTAGACCACCACAGCTTATGACAATGACACTACTTCATTTTTTAACACAAATTAGCAGATTCACTAACAGAATAAGGACCTCATTACAACCTTACATGTCTACCCTGTTTTGTGATGCAGTTAACAACCTCCTTTCATTCTATTATAACCTTGGTAAGCAAAACAAAAAGCATCTGTGTCAAACACAGACTGCAGCAAGTAACACTAATAACTATTTCCCTTTTCCTTAACACCACTGCAAATCTAATTCTGCTCCTACAATACAGTTTCTGTAAAGTGCCAGGCAAGACTCTAGGGTTCTGCTATGTTATTGACTGGAGAAAGGACAGCGGGGGAAGAGACAGAAGAATTGCTTACTTTGAATATGTTGCTGTGTCGCTCTTCTACTAGATCCTTACATGTTTTATAAAAATGGAGATGCTTCATCCTTCCTTTCTATTCTCACATTTGGGTGGGAAAATTAGTTTGCATAAACTGAACGCTATCTTCACATGCTTAGATATTCCAGGATATATTCTACTGCCACAGCAGCAGGATGTACTCTTCCTCAAACTCAAGAGTAGTCTCACTTTAGTAGCTTTTAAGTGATTTAGCCAGCGCTTACACAGGGGGGGAAAATTTTGGACATGTGTTTCACAGTTGTAATTAAAAGTCTGGAAGCAGTAATAAACTCTGCTAGACATCCGAAACAGCAGCAAACATAGATGAAAGTGAAAAGATACATCATATTTTAAGTGTATTCAAACTTGTTGAGAGCTGTGTGCCTTCAGCAGAAGGTAAAGTCAGCACCCTGCCACTTCCTACAAGTGAACACCGCTTCTGACACTCCTACTCCATTTCAGCACCACAGCACACACAACCTACAGACTCTCCCACCAGCACCTCCAGCACACAATTACTCCAGACTACACCAGAGTCATGCCTAGCTTGCACCATGTCCTTTCTCAATATGCCCACCATACTTTAACCAGCTTGGATCAAGAGTAGAACAAGGCAGTCAAAGGATGATTCAAAAATCACGCATTAGTGGTTCTTAACAACAGGCTCTTTGTTTTTCATACTTTTCAATACCAGTCCACTGGTCCCAGCGCCAAGTGTTCCCTCCCAACCCTCTGCCCAAGCAAAGAACATAAGAAATCTGCTCCGAGTATCTGGCTGGTTTATGACCCAGCCAGCAAGAAGGCCGAGTCTTACTGTCTGCTTGACAGAGGTGCTGGGTGCTGGAGATATACTATGCTCTGATATTCATGGTAAGGCTGAAGAAAGGTGCATGAATTTTTATATCCACAGCATCTTGAAGCATTCTAAAGATGTCATGGATCACCTGACTGTGTCACCTTAGTAGATGCATCACCTGCACAGTAATTAAAATCCCTAAAGATGACAAATTTAGAAGGTGTCAGTGCCAAGCTGTACAGCAGCTCTGTTATCTCTCTGCAATGAAGCCAGATAACCTGCAACACGGTTTGCATACTAATAGGGTGCTCATCTCAGCTTTCTCCCTTGATTCATACACCAAGTGAAAGCAGTCAAGTAGTGTTATTTCTAGTCACCACTGCTTCCACATCTTGACTCTTATCTGTCCATATGTCAAACTGCATAGCACTGAGATAACATCGCACTGCTCTTCTCCTCTCATATACACCTGCTGAGCAGCACCAGAGATCAAGATGACCCAGCACTGCATTAGTGTCATCAAGCCAGCAGTGATGCAAGCAAGTCAAGTGGAATTAACAGCTCAAACTACTGAGTCATGGCTGAACACCTTAGCCTATAATTGACTTGCACTGGATTTAATCAGCAGCATGGTAGCTTGCCGAGTTCTTGCTGCCCTGGTCTTTACACAGGAAGGAGTAGGTGAGAGTCCGAGGCCATTAATTTATTTTCCTTTCTTACCTTTTGCAGCCAAAATCTGGGGGGATAAAGTGTGAATGTACCATACTTATCACTAAGGTAATTTCAGGCTTTAAAAAACTATGTGCTTTTACAGCCATAAAAGTGGCTGAAAAGGAAAACACTGAGATACATTAATTATGTTAAATTAAATCAAATTCTAGTATTTAATGTTAATTAATTTAATATCAATTTTCTACTCCGTGCAAACGCACAAGAATTCGGTAGCATCCAAAAAAATGCCACCAGAAACTCCTAGTGCCCCTAGAAAAGGAAAAAGCTGCAAGCTGAGCTCTCCTGAGGAGTATACACATGAAGGGTTTCCAAATGCCTGGATGGAAGGCCTTTCCCCAGGGCAAACCAGAAAAATTCCACCTGGAAGCTAAATCTATAAGAAAATAGGTATATCTTCTACTTGTATAACTCCATGGTATCTTTAGAAGCAGAAGCTGAGAGATGAGATGTGGTGGGTTTGCTTTTCCTGAAGGAATCTGGCAGCACATACCACAAATAAATTAGGCAATCACAATGGTAACCAAATGAAGCAGCAAACTCTAAAGAACAATGTTGTGACACTTAGTTGAGGTTACTTTCAACTCAATACAGAAACAATGGCTTAAATTTTTCAAAATAGTTAGCTAAACAGTTACAAGACTAGAAGACAAAAGAGTAAAAAGAACTCTCCTCAAGCTGCTTACCTCAAAAAAAAAAAAGCTAAGAGGCCTCTTGTGGTATCAGCCTGACCAGTTGCAGAAGGCTCTGCAGTGCACCTTTCTGCAACTCAGCCCTTGTGCACCAAAGTACTCCTTGGGTTGCTTTTACTGCAAGCACTCATTTGACAGAAGAAACCCACTGAACCCACACATCTCTGGTTTTTGACTTCACTAGAAGGCAGTTTGAGTTCTCCTCCCTCCAAGGGAACATGAGCTCTCCTTTGCTGCACCTGTGCAGACAGTCCCTGTGCTTGACTGGCTTTTTGCACATTTAGTTAATAACCAATGAAAGAGTAAAATACTCTCCCTCACTTTTAAATCATCGTGTAAAGCACAGTATGAAGCCTCCCTTGCTATCTCATACAAATATACAGTCATTTAACAGAAGTTCAAAAAACCAGCCTCATTTCATACAGATAAAGGGTACTAAAGTAGGTGGCTCATTTCTGCCCAAAACCAGACATGATACCTGCCACTTCAGGAAGATAGCAGGTTTGTAGAAACTACGGATACTTCGGTTTTGCTGGTGTTTAGGTATTATTAGTAGAGGATATCATTTCTCTGATGCTTTTACAGAAACTAAGAATTGCTTCAACTACCATTAGGTAGGGTTTTCAGCAATTATAGTCTTCAAAAATAAACACCATGCAGCTAACTTGCCATAATGTGACTCACACGTTCCTATAAATAGGCCATTTACAGTCACAAAACTTTTTTATCGATCAAATAAACTGTTGGAAAGTCTTCTTGTGTGTGTACATAAATACGCATACTTTTAAAGAAGCTTTAAGAACTACAAAGCAGATTTTCCTCTGTGCGCATACATATATATGTATTTTAAACAAGCCTTGAAAACTACAAAACACACTTCTGTCCTTTCACATTATATGAATTACAAATTTTGCAGAGGTTATCACACAAGGAGCAGTATTGCTACTCTCAGTATTAGAAAGAACAACAGCGGCATGAACAAACGTGACTACTTATGTTATCACACACTGAAAACACAGCTAAACCATCAATGGTTAAAGCCACAGCAAAAACATCCACATACATGCATTGGCAGAACTTCTGGCCTTGCCAAGACATGTTCTAACAATTACATCTTGCACAGCAAACATCAGCAATCTGTTATTTCCTGCCATTACCATTCTGTACTACTCTGTGATGCTTCAAAAACAGGGATTAACAACAGAAATCCACTGGTTTTAGAAATAAGCTCCTATTTCCTTAGAAGTGGCTGGCCAGCTCCTGAACTGCTGAAAACCAAAGACAAAACAGAGCCAGAAGGCTCAAGTCCCTCCTCTTTCATGGATTTTAAATGTAACATTTAAAAACACCATATAAAATCCTCACATTCCTCACAACCTGCCTGACATACAGCTATTTTTGAAATTTAGCTTACCAATTTGAGTTTTTTCAGTACTTAAGTAATGTTTTATTTGATAAGGACAGGGCAGAAATCAAAAACACTATGCCTCAACCTCCGAGTCCCACCAGCACAAACACGCGGGGAGGCAACGCTAGCGACCACCTTGCAGTATCGATCACGTTAACACCTATTTGATGACAGGAAAGGAAGGATCGCCACTTTCCAGCAGGCCCACGAGAAACCCTTTTTTGAAGGGGAAAGTGCAGGAGGATGTAGGGGCGGCATCTGCCTCCGCAGCGGTGGCCGCGGTGCTCCGACCCTGGAGAAGGTTGGGGCCGCCGAGAAGAAACGCTCAGCGCCGAGAGACAGCCGCCTCGGCGGACAACCGCGCCGTCCCCCTGGGGATGCTTCGGGACAGGGAGAACCTTTCCTCGGCTGCAGCTCCTAGGCCCTGGCTCCCCTTGCCCCAGCCCACCCCGACGCTGAGGGCGGCCCCCGGCCCAGCCCGAGAGACG